ACTCTCTACTTCTTGTCTTTTTTTTTAAATGTGAGAAGTAGAAGTAAAAAGTAGGCTGAAAAATAATTACTGTAGTAAAGTACAGATACCCAGAAATTCTACTTAAGTACAGTAAAGAAGTATTTGTACTTAGTTACTTTAGAACTCTGTCAAGAAGACACCCCTTCCTTTCATGGATAATGGMAGTGAAACATTACATTAACTGACAGACATCAGGTATAAAGTTAAAATAAACACAACAAAAAGGTCTCAGGACCTCTGCTGGTTTTGTTCTAAAACAGGACCTGGTTTTCCTCTAACAGACCTCTCCATCTGTCTGCTGTCTCCAGGCTCTGTCTCCCAGTGAGAAGAAGCGTTTTGAAGACATGGCCAAAGCTGACAAGGTGCGCTACAACCGGGAGATGAGGGACTACGTACCACCTAAAGGYTTCGGAAAGAGGGGCCGCAAGAGGAAAGACCCCAATGCTCCCAAAAGACCCCCGTAAGTCTGGTCCCAAACTGAAAAATAGACCCAGGAAGAAAGGTGAGTGGGTAAAACCTGTTAAAGAGACAGGAGGAAGTGTTGAACAGAGAAACTAATGGAAAAAAGGAAAATGTTTTGTGTAAGATKCAGCCAAATGTGCCAAATAAACAGATATTTTCTGTGATGAAGGGGGCGGGGCCAGTGTAACTAAAGTTGGCCAGGCCAGTCATACTCAGACCCAACGATATGAATCCAACAGGTTAGCATCTACTGCCTTTACAGGGTTAAATTATTAATATTCTTATTTATGTAGGGGTTTGTAAAGGCTAGAATTCTGAAATGGATAATTTGTGAATATTTAAATATATTATATTTAAATAAATTATTCCTCGGAGCACCACATTCTTAATTTGATCGGATATTGACCCAGGAAAGAAATGAAAAACTGTAACTTTATTGTAATCAGTCTCAGAATAAATTTACCCAAACTGATTTATGACTTCTTGTCTTATCAGAACCAGAATATCTTCATCAAGACACAAAAATGAGATTAGCTTATGTTGGCACGTTCCCCACAGGCCATTTATTTACAGATTAAATGTATTTACAACTATGGCAAGTAATGAATGAGTAATGACATGTTTGAACCAGGTAAACTGAGAGAGTTTGTTATCACGAGTGAATGAACAAACAGGCAGACAAATAACAAACACACATGTAAACAAAAATAAACACTGAGAAGTGAGTTTGAGGCTCT